CGGGGTAAGCCCAGGTGAGCACTAGTGCTGAAAAAGTGCTGGATTCCACAGAGATGGTAGCAGGGGCGTTAGAGGTCCCCGGAACAATACTCTCTGGGTCTGCTTGACTGCTCTTGTCTGTTTAGAACAGAAGTGGAGATTGGAGATGGGGGAAAGAGTGATAATTCAGAGGCAAAAGGCAGAGATTTACTAAGAAAGGCGCTGTCATCAATCCTGTGAAAAGGAGTTCCCCGCACCTCTTCTCTCCTCCAGGGAGTAGTGGAAATCACCAGACACTCTCATCACGTGGGCGGAGATGGGGCCAGCACTCCAGTGTCTCCACTCCCCTCTGCTTCACCCTCACGGGGGCTTTCAGCACATGGAGGGGCACTGTTATGTAGCGTGCTGGCTTCTGCCTGTGAGTTAGGGCTGGGCCAGGACAGCATCTCTTCTACCTCCCATCATCCTGATCTACTATTTTCTATGTACGACTGGCCTTCCTATGTCCTCCTTTATCTGGGTCTCTGCAATGCTCACAAATTCCAGTTTCCTTAGACTTGCTTTCTTTGTGCCTGTCACCCAGGCTGATAACCATCCCTATCTCTCTGCCCCTGTTCTCTCTCTGGCCCTTGGCCAAGGCCTTTGTATTTCTGCTCTTATCCCAGTGCTGCCTGCATATGATGGCATCTCTTAGACTATATTAGGACCCATTGGCCAGATGACAAGCAGCGCTAGACTCTGCACCCCACACCATCTTGGGCACATCTAGAATATTGTGCTCATTTCTGAGAATCCTTTTCTGACTCACCAATATGTATCCAGAAGATGGCAGTCAGGGCGGGGGTGGAGAGTTGTCCCCTGAGGAACAATTGACAATTGAGCAAACGGGAAGACCTTTAACCGGGAGCTGAGCAACACAATACAGCTTCCCTTTGAAAAAGGGGTACAGACTCCGTGTGTTGCAGAATATATAACATTTGAGAAGATTTAAGAAGCGGGTGTAATATAAATGAGAATTTTGCCATATTTAGTATTGTTTGTAGGCTGCTGTTAGCTGTCCTTTACTGAGCACAGCCTTGTTTTAGGTGTTGCTGTGTTCTGTGTGTACTTAATTTCTCACATCCATCTATAGACTTGAGTTCTGTTATCCTCATTTTACCTGTGAAGCTGAGATTCGGGTTTAGTGATTTGGCACAGTGTCACATAGTGGTGAGTGGCAAAGCCAAGAGGAACTAGAACTGGGTCTGAACTCAGGCCATCCTCTTAGCCACTCTCTGTTCTGCAGTGTTGAATAGGGTAGACTAACCACCTTCCAGGGGCACTTCCCAATTCTAGCTCAAGGGGCCTTATGTTTTGCTGCCCCCGGGAGACCCTTTAACCCTGATATTGTATGACCTCAGTCTCACATGTACCTGTAGTGTGTTCCCATCATGAAGAGCCCAGAATGGTAGCCCAGCACCAGTAAGCCTTCCTCCAGCAGCCTGTACATGGCACGACAGGAGCTGCTGACTCCTGGCGTTGGCTGGGGACACTCAGTCAGAGAGCATCTTCCTTTTCTGAGTCAGGGACTGGCTGGCTCCTCGCCTTTCCCCAGGCTCCCTATATGGCTACTGCATAGAGTGAAGCTCTGTTCTAGTCACTCTCACAGCTAGACCCACAGGGTATCTGATGCCCATTTCCTTCCAAAATCTCAGGATAGAATATGTAACGGTGACTCCTGAAGGATTCCGGTACCGGGGCCAAATCTTCCCAACTGTAAATGGACTTTTCAGATGGTTTAAGGATCATTACCAGGATCCTGTACCAGGTAAGTGCTGCTCTCCCTGACTTCTGGGGTATAGTTGGGAAGACACCAAAAGGCCCAAGGCAAGGTAATCCCAGGCCTTCTGTGGGAGGCAGTTGCCACAGCTGTCTCACTCATTCTCTTAAATTCTCAGCATTAGGGAGCTTGTGCAGTTTCCCTTCCTCAGTATCCATCTCATTACTTCCTTCAACCCCCTAATTGGAAACCCAAAGTAGGCTTCTGGTGGGACATAACCAACTCTGGCCATTTCCTACAGGCATCACCCCCAGTAGCAGCAGCAGGACCAGGACACCTGCTTCTATCAATGCTACTCCAGCCAACATCAATCTTGCTGGTGAGGAGCTCATACCAGGGACTGTTGTTCAGAGGGTGGAACTAGAAAGACCGTCTCCTTTAATGTGCCCATCCTTCCCTGTGTGCTTACAGACCTGACACGGGCTGTGAACGCTTTGCCCCAGAACATGACCTCGCAGATGTTCAGTGCCATTGCTGCTGTGACAGGCCAAGGACAGAACCCTAACACCACCCCAGCCCAGTGGGCCTCCAGCCAGTATGGCTATGGCGGCAGTGGAGGGGGTAGCAGTGCTTACCACGTACGTTGCTTGTCGGGGCAGGGTGGGAGGCGGCGGGAGGTAATAAGGGAACAGTCCTCTCTTCCCAGCCCATGTCCACCCACTATGCCCTGGCAGTGCCCACCACAGAGGATTTCACATACACAATCAGGGCTGCCATGCCCTTGGGCACCATCTCCCACAGATGTTCCTTTCCCTTGGACCTGCCTGAGGGGGCAGGGAATAAGACCTTTCTACAGCGTCTTTTGGGGTCTTTGGAGCCCTAACCCACTAAAATCCTCGAGTGGACAGGGCTAGTAGGCTCTGTTGTGCCAGGTCTCATCCCACTGGCCTCCCTTTACTGCTCAGAACCACACACTGTCAGGGAGTTCAGCCAGAAAACTCTGCTGGACCCAAATTTTGAATTTGCCAGAAATTCACATCATGGCCAGATAAGCCCAGAAGCAATCCCCATTTAACTGTTCACCCATCTCCAGGTGTTCCCCACGCCAGCCCAGCAGCCAGTGGCCACCCCACTAATGACTCCCAGCTACTCCTACACCACCCCAAGCCAACCCATCACCACACCCCAGTACCACCAGCTCCAGGCCAGCACCACCCCGCAATCTGCCCAGGCCCAGCCCCAACCCTCCTCCAGCTCCCGGCAACGGCAGCAACAGCCAAAGTAAGTATATTTATGGGGCTCAAAACAGGTTCTTAGTGGGCGCAAGTTGTCAGAAGACCACGGGGCTTAGCATAGGTGGGGGCTCTGGATCTTCTGAGAGTCACAATCCAGGGGATGTCCCTAGGACGAATGCTTTCTGGGGGAAGATGGAAGACAGCAGTGTGGCAGCAGGCCCACCCAGCAAGAGGGGCTGCTGCCCATAGGTGTGAGGGCCACTGCTACAGGGGTGGGTACTTAACAATTACTGGTGGGAAGGCTTTCTTCTGGTAAACCCCTGGAGAGTCCCTATCTCAAAGACCTCCCTTCCAGGTCCAACAGCCACGCAGCCATCGACTGGGGGAAAATGGCAGAACAGTGGCTGCAGGAGAAGGAGGCAGAACGGCGGAAACAGAAGCAGCGGCTGACACCTCGGCCGTCCCCCAGCCCCATGATCGAGAGCACCCCCATGTCCATTGCTGGCGATGCCACCCCACTCCTGGACGAGATGGATCGGTAGGGGTCTTGCTTCTAGGACTCTGGTCACCTCTGTGGCTGGGAGAGGCCCGGCCACCCACTGCCTCACTCCCTGCCCCTCCCTTTCTGTCCATAAAGTGGAGTGAATTGACGTTCTCTGGTAGTCGGCCTGGATGGGTGACAGGATAGATGGCCTTTCGAACTCAAGCTCAGTTTACACTAGGCGACAATTCTCCCGCTCTGGGTCTTCACCGGCTGCCTGTCCTGGGACCAGGCTGAGAGGGGAGTGTGACAGGGAGGAAGGAGAGAGAAATGAAAATGAAAGTGGAACTGTTTTGTATTTTACTCCCTACAAGCCATTTTGAGCTTCTGCCCTCACCTGACTTTGGGCTGTAACAGGGGCACCAAGCTCAGCACAATGAGTCTCCCCCGACTCCTGTGGGGAGAGGGATGCTATTTATTCAGTTAGGGGCAGGAGGGAGAGGAGGGAAAGTATTTCTGATCCTGATGCCAACAGCTTGGGTGGCTGTCAAAGCAGGACAAAGGGGACAAAGGGGAGCAGTGCTAACCTGCCCAGCCCCCATCTGACCACTCTCACCCACCTGCAGCCACCGCTTCCTGCCTGTCATTTGAATAAACAGTGTTTCCTACAGAGCACTTGGCAAAGCCTCTCTGTTCAACTCTCTGGCTCTTAGGGGTGGCTTTCAAGGCGGTATTTGAATGGAGGGCTCCCCTGGCTCCCTTTCCAGACCGATGTGAAGCAGTGACTCGGAAGAAATGGTTTCTGCAAGATATAGCGGGGTGCGTGCCTGCTCCATTCCCCAGCCCTGTGACCCTGAGCAAGCCCCTGTTGTCTCTCAGCCAGCTGCTGAACTGTGGAAGGGAGCTGGTGATACCTACCCCGTCGGGCCGCTGTGAGGACTCGGATTGAGTGTGTGAAGTGCTTAGTAAATGCTAGCCGTTTCTGTCACACAGCACCCCCACCCCCTCTGCCTACTTGTCTTTCTCCACCATGTTGGAGAAAGACCACAAGTAAACCGGGGTTTCGCAACTTCAGCCCCTGTAACTCCCAACTTGGTGCGGCCTGGGCCTTGGTCTCTGACGATACCTCTACGCTTATCTAGTGCATCTAGCTCAGGACAGACCCCTTGCTTGCCTGCTTCCACACAAACACTGGCCTCATAAAGGGAAGCTGGGATGTTGCAGGGAAGTCCTCTGCCCTGGTCCCTTTCCCCAGCCCATTTGTATCTTTTGTTCTGGACTCCTGCTCTCCCAACGTCTCATCTGAGCTTTGCAAATCTGCCAGGAAAGTGAGGCTATCCCCCTTTTCTTCATTCAAGATCTCTGGCTATTTGTTGGCAAGAGTTAGGGGAGAGGGGTTGGCCTTATGCCAGGAATTTGGTTCCATTCCCTTCAGCACACACAAGTCTAGAAGGGCCCAGCAGGAGCCACGCCACACCAGTTGGGACAATCATACTCCCTTTGCTGCCACCAGCACCTTCCCCAGGGCTGGCCACCAGAAGAGGAAAGGCCAGGCACAGTGGCACAAAGTGGGTTAAAAGGTTCAGTTTATTAGGGGTATCACTGCAGACGTACTGCCCGTCCCGGGGTGGATATCACACGGACCAGTCTCCCAGCAGATGGGAAGCTGCCTTCCTACCCCACCCCCTTCTGCCCCAGGCCTAGGATGTTACAGAGAAATAGGCTGTGCCTCACCCCTGCCAGCCACCTACCTTCCCACGTACTTCTCTTGGAAGACAGATTGCCCTTCAGGAACCCCCACAGCCCCCAGCGCCTTGGCTCCAGCAATACCCAGAGCAACCACCCACCCCCAGAGGGGGCAGAGAAGAGGGAGAGAGAACAGCAGCAGGGGTTCAGCTACAGACTTGATTGAATTTATTCTTCACCTGCTCCCCCTGGCCTCAACTGAGATTGGGGTTTGATCCTGGGGGAGATTTCCTCTTGCTGACCTTCTTGATTGGTGAGGGCTTCGCCCCAGGCTTCTTGGCCTGGATCATGTTCTTCTCTCTCTTCCTGGGTGATGAAGATTCCACAATTTCCTCACTGGAGGGGGGCTCCTCACGCTTGGGGTCACTGTAACTGTCCTCGCTCTCCAGTTCTCCCCGGCTCTCTGGGCTGGACTCTGACATCCTAGTCAGCTCTCTTGGGCTCAGTGTTCGAATCAAGTCTGGGGGTGACGATTCCGATTTAACCGGGCTTTTCTTTTTCGTCAACTTGGTCTTCTTGACTTTTTTCTTTAGCTTTGTCTTCTCATCTGTCTCCTCATCCTTTTCTTTTTCCTTTTTCTTCTTGACCTTCTTGCTCACCTTGCTGCCCTGGGACTTCCCAGTGGGACTCTCAGAGCGCCAGATGGTGATGGGAGCTGCTGAGTCAGGGGCGCCTGTGACAGGACCCACGCCTGGGCCTGTGTCAGTGGGTGTGGGTGTGGGTGTGGGTGTGGCGGTCGGCCCCACCTGGGCTGGGATGAGGGGCTTGCTCTCCTCCTCTTCCTCCTCCTCCTCTTCCTCCTCCTCCTCCTCCTCCTCCTCTTCCTCCTCCTCCTCCTCTGCCTCGTCTTCATTTAGGTCATCTGCCCTACACTCGTGGTGGATGGGATGGTGGATCACTGCCACAGAGACAGGCCTGTAGCTTTTGCACCTCAGAGGGAGAGGAACAGGATAAGAAAGTTGTCAGGGAATGGGGGCCAGTGACTCACAGAGAAGAGCCTCCTGTTCCCTCCCAGCCACCCCGTCAGCCTGCTGGCACTCACCAGCCATACCAGAAGCGCTCCACACACTCTTCCTCTGGGATGAACTCAAAGCACGGGGTCTGGATGATGTTGTAACAGGTTGAGCCCCCATCTCTGGAGCAGGTTGGGCCACCATTTCGGGAGGTGATGCTATTTGTCTTCTCTGAGCAGTCCTTCAGCCTGACACAGAGGGGACTCAGCCTAGCTCCTCCATGGCCCCCCAGCGGCCCAGAGCAAGAAGGCTGAGGGACAGTAGGCTTGCACGGGGCCCAGCCCAGGCTTCCAAAAGACCTCCCCATTGCGCTCGGAGCACAGCCAGGTTTACAAAGCAGGGCAGGGCTGGCAGTGCCTGGTCAAAGGTTGGAGGGGGACCACAGTGACGTTTAGACCTAGTTCAGCTCAGGGAGACCCCCTAGGGCTTGCGCTGCCGCACCCCCGTGAAGAGTACCCTTACCTACAGTCACAGTCACAGCAGCTGATGGTGTGCACGTGCAAGTTGTGGTGGCCGTAGTCAGAAGGGAAGGGGCGGATGATGTGCCCGCTGCATGGCTTATGTTGCCAGCAGCATCTGTCAGTGTCCTTGAGTTCACCTGAGGAGGTAGGTCAGGGTCTAGGTCACACTGCTGGCCACAACCGCAGCCCTCTGGTCTCAGTCTAAAAGCCTCACCAACTGCCACGCCACTGGCACTCCTGCAGTCAGCAGCAGTAACTCAGCCCCGTAGGAACTCCAGACCCAGCACTCTATCCACGGCATGAACCTCCTGCCCACCCCCGGGCTTCCAGGAAAATGTCAGATGCAGGTTCTTTCCTCAGCAAGTTCCCCTTGCTGTCCTGTGACACCAGCCTCTTCTCTTCCCTCCCTTCTGCGGGGGCCGGCCCTCCACTGATGCCCGCTGCCCCTCACCCAGCTGTTCCAAATGACAACTACCCCACTCTACAGGGTGCCTGGAGGGGAAGGCCCTCCTTGCTGTGGCACATTGCTGAGCTGCTTGGAGACCGGCACACCACTGCAGTCCCAGCGATTAGAGCTGGCAGGTGCCGCACCCTCAGTTCCTATGGCTGCCCGCACGGGCCTGGGAGACCCGCGTCAGACCCTCACAGACGCCAATCTAGCACCAAGGTCTGCTATGGGCATTCGTGGCTCAAGCCTTTCCCTTTTCCCTTCCTCTCTTCTCCAAGCCCTGTTATCTCCCGCCTGCCCCCCCACTTTCTCACGTCTCTCTCTCCCCATACTCTTTCAATTCTTTCCCAGCTCTACTCACCTAGTTCCTTGAGTCACAGTTAAGCCACCCCAACCCAAGCCCTCCACCCCTGTCGGCAGAACAGATACCAACGAAATACACTGCTGAGGGGAGCAGCGGGGGTGGCAGGAGAGGTCTGCATGCCATGTGGGACCCTAGCCCGGCGGCCGGGGATCGAACCGGTGGCGCTGCAGAGGCTGTAGGCAGCTTCGCAGCCCAGCACTCAAAAGCTGCGCCACCAGGGAGGCCCTCCCACTTCTTTTGTTCAGCTAAACGCAAGCCCTGGACAGAACACTGAAGTCTCCCAGCTTCCACCCCCACTGCCTCGCCACTAGTAGTGCTGGAATCACCAATCTACCAATGGCTCTGCCTAGGGGCACTGTCGTCTAAAAGATAAACCCATGAAGTGAGTCCAGGTGCCCAAGGACTCACACCAGGGCTGAGGACAAGACACCTTCCTGAAGCTCTCCCCTTCACTCTAGTTCTGCTCACCCCCACTTCCTTGGCAGTCTAGCATGGGTTGCTATGACTCCACTCCAAATAGGCTGGGTGCGGAGGGGCCACAGAGATTAAGTGTCAGCTCTATCACCACAATGGCCCACCTCTACTGCCTGGGTTCAGTCCCCAGCCAGGGAGCTGAGCCACATGGCGCAGTCTTGCCCACTGCTCCCCTCAGCAGTGGATTTCAGTGGATCTACCTGCTCTGCTCCCCACTCTGTCTCTGGTGAATCCTCTCACCCCCTGTACCTCTAGTCTAAACCCCAGTTCTTCTATGCATAAAGAAATCTTTAAAAAAAAATAGTCTGGGAGGACTGTGCCTTTATCTGGCCCCATGAGATGTAGAACGGGGCAAGAGGGCCTCCCCTGGTGGCGCAAGCAGTTAAGTGCAGCACTGTGAAGCTGTCTGCAGCCTCTGCAGCGCTGGTGAGAATCCCACATGGTGCGGCAGACCTCTCCTGTCTCGCCCCACTGCTCCCTTCAGCAGTGTATTTCATCAGTCTGCCTGTTGTGTTCCCCACTCTGTCTCTGGTGGATACTCTCACCCTCCTGTGCATCTGACCTGTACCCTGGTTCTTGTATAACAATAAATAAATATTAAAAAAAAGGGGGGGGGCCTCCCCGGTGGCGCAGCGGTTGAGTGCTGGGTTGCGAAGCAGCCCGCAGCCTCTGCAGCGCTGGTTCAATCCCCTGCTGCTCCCCGGCCACCGGAGGAGGGTCCCACTTGGCGCGCAGACCTCTCCTGCCACCCGCTGCTCCCCTCAGCAGTGTACTTCGGTCCTTCTGCCTGCTCTGCTCCCCGCTCTGGCTCTGGTGAATTCTCTCACCCTCCGTGCTTCTGACTGTACCCAATGCTTGTATAAATAAATAAAAAAAAAAATTTTAAAAAAGCTACTGCCAGCCACTGCAGCACTTTTGAGTTCAGAGCTCCCCAGCTGGCCAGGGAGCAACCCACCTGGCACAGCAGACCTCTCCTGCCTCACCGGCTGCTCCCCTCAGCAATGTGTTTCAGTACATCTGCCTGTTCTCCCCACTCTCTGGTAAATCCTCTCACCGCCTCCACCTGCCCCCCACCACACACCTCTGGCTTACACCCCAGTTCTTGTATGCATAAATAAATAAATCTTTTAAAAAAATAAAGTGCTACGCAGAAGAAAACGGGTGATTGTGGCCACTAGGAAAGGGCCCCTCCCTGTGTAGCCTGATTAGGGGACGGGTGAGAGTGAGGGGACTCAAACACTGTCCTCCCTCCTGCCTGCCACCAGGGGTCCACTTCCCAAGGAGGGGTGAGAAGATGGGAGTGGGGGTTGGGGGGAGCCCTGGGGCGGGAGATTCCCCCGGACCCACCTTCAGAGAAGATAGAGGTATCGGTGCTAGAAGCCACGCTAGCCAGCAGATGTCCTCGCTCCCAGCTGGGTAACCTGTTTATATCTGAGAGAGGACAGAGTAGCAGCAGCAGCCCCCTCCCCATGCCATTCATTCACCAAACAACTCCTGAGAAGCTCCAGGTGCCAGGCCCCAGCTGCACCTGCACCCCAAGATGCAGAGATTAAAAAACAGCACAGCTAGCCCTCCCCCTGGGGGAGGTAGGGAGGGGAGGTATGTGAACAGGTCACCACAGGGTGTGAGGCAGACACGACAGGAAGGGAAAGGGTGGGGAGGAAGGCTGTGAGAGAGCACACAAGGACACCCACTGAGATGGTGGGGGTGAGGGCGAAGTCTGGAAACAAGCTCAGCAGAAACTGACTCTGGGGTAATGAAGAGGAGTGAGCCCGACTCTAGGCAAAGAGGGCCTGTGCCAGGAACTGTCCCAGGGCTGCGGAGTCTGGTCAGAGGGTGTCCGCGAGCACAATTCCAACTGGGTCACAGCTCCATCAGCAACCAGGGTAGAGCCTGCCCTTTTCCTTCCCACAATTACTTTCGTCCTTTGGGGCACTGGAACTGAAGTTAGGAAGGGAAGCCGGTTGCTTAGGGACTTCAGCTGCGCCTTCAGTGGCACTTGGCCCTAGTCAGTTCCTTCTGTTTTCCACAGCACAGAAAGTACTCCAAATGTACTGAATGAATGAAAATTCAAGCACTTCCTGGAAACTCCTCTCCTGCTACTGTTCCTCGCAGCAGATCATTTCAGCAGCATTTTCTGTGGCTGCTCCCACCCTCATCAACTCACCTCCAGCCTTCCAAAGTATTCCTCCTCCTGCCCAAAACACCTGAACTCCAGGTTCTAGCCCGAATTTTCACCTTCTACCACTTTAATTTTTTTTTTTTTTTTGCATAGAAGAATTGGGGTGTAGGCCAGAGGTGCAGTGGGTGAGAGGATTCACGAGAGACAGAGTGGGGAACAGAACAGGCAGACTGACTGAAATACACTGCTGAGGGGAGCAGCAGGCAAGACAGGAGAGGTCTGCTGCGCCATGTGGGGAGCTCCCTGGCCGGGGACAGAACTCAGCCTGTAGAGGTGGGTGATTGCGGTGATAGCGCTGAGACTTAACCACTAGGCCACCAGGGAGGCCCCCCTCTCCCTTTAATGGCTTTTTCTCTCTACAAAAGTTTGAAAAGCCCACCCCTTTCCCTCTTCAATTCAAGTTTCTTCATTCACATTTCTAACAGACATGGGATAGCTTCACTAGGTATCAGTGAAGAAGGCCCAGCACGGAGCTCAGTTTCCCCCTCTCTCCTTCTCCAGCCACTTGCAACATAGCAGTAATCTGGGTCCCTCTATTAGAAAAGCCCAGGGAAAGACCACCAATGATTTTCCCAAGAGCCAAATCCGATAGCTTTATTTCACCTCATTTGACCCTATTGACCTATCACTCTCTTCTGCAAGTTCTGTGCCTCTGGCTCCTATGACAGACTTCTCTCATCTTTCTTCTCTGAGTAGTCCTTTAGTTCTTTCCTGACTCCTTTGCTATCTCCTCTTCCTCTGCCTTAAACTGACGATTACCAGGGTTCTGCTTTGGCTTCTTCAGAACATACTAAAGGCTATCTTGGATAATGATATCTACTTACGGGCCTCCCTGGTGGCACAAGGGGTTAAGACACAACCTGTGAAGCTGCCCACAGCCACCACAGCACAAGTTCTATCCCCAGCCAGGGAGCTACCCACATGGCACAGGAGACCTCTCCTGACTCGCCTGCTGCCCCCCCTCAGCAGTATATTTACAGCAGTGTATTTCAGTAAATACAGCAGTGTATTTCAGTCACTCTGCCTGTTCTGTTCCCCACTTTGTCTCTGGTGAATCCTCTCACCCCCACACCTCTGGCCTGTACCCCAGTTCTTGTATGCATAAATAAAGAAATCTTTAAAAATGATATCTACTTCCATGGTTTCAACATTCACCAGTAAAATGACATACATCTGGGTCATTAATCCAGACTGCTTTCCTGAACACATAGCCAGTATCTTCTTTTGTGTCCGCAAAACATCTTAGACCAGCAAATCCCACATAAACCCCCCAGCTTGTCCCTACCCTACATCTTCCACTTCAGAGCAACCAACACCTCAGCTAGAAATCTAGGGATCATTCTTTCCCTCACTTCTGCACCAACTTGATGACCAAGTTTCTTGCCAAGCCTACCTGACCCTTCACTTGCCTGTCTTGTTTTGGATCTTCATTATCTCTGACCAAGAGAGTCGCAGCAGCCCCTTCCTGTCTTACCCACTTGGCTCCAGTCTCACTACTTCGGTCCAATCCTCTCCAATCCTCGCTTAAGCCAGACTTAAGTTTTCCAGAAAGAATGCCAGCCACTCCTTCACATTCCTCTTCTTTAATAGCACTCCACTGCCCTTAGGGTGAGATGTCACAATGTAACTGACCTCCCCCCTCCCCCCCACATACCAGGAACAAGGTTCTGGTTCCTTCCTCCATTACAGGTTCTTCCTTGCACCCCTCCTTCCTCCACTCTTCTTTTCCTGCCTCTCACGCCCCACAAACACCTGCTCATCTTGGAAAGAACAATGCTGATTAAGTAGAATGGGTCACATAAATCTTCTGGTCCTTTACTATGCCAGCTTACCTCATATATTTACTCTGTAGTAACTTGAGAATAGGCCTGTATTTTATCTGCCTACCTATATATCCAGGGATGTGGAAATTGCTCAGTAAATGCTGACTGAATACATGAATAGAGCAGAATAAAGCCACTGCTGGAAACAGAGTTTATGACATTGGAGATTATGCCCAGGGTTCAAACATGGAGACTTTCTAGGAAAAGAGAGTTGGCCAAAGATGAGTATCTTCCCGATGTCAGGCACTGCTCTGAGCTTTTAAAATCTGATTATTCTACATCCTTGTCCCAGCCCATTTTATGGCTGGGGTCACAGAGATTCACAATAAGTAACTTGCCCAAAGACACAAGTTAATAGATGGCAGATGCAGGACTCAAAACCAGACTTCTGGCCTCCATAGCCTGTGTCCTTTCAGATGTGTCTACTTAGGGTTCCTGTCCCAAACTTGCCCTGCCTAGCACACCAGCTTTTCAACTCAAACACAGCCAATTTCTCATCTGGTTTTACATAGTCCTGACTTCACAGCCTTCCTTATCCTGCCTGGACTCAAGGTCAGGCCAGAGGGGCCTGAGTGAGGGTCAGAATTCAAACTCTAGGGGCCTCCCTGGTGGCACAAGGGGTTGAGCACAGCGGTGTGGGACTGTCTGCAGCCTCTGCAGTTCAATCCTGGACCCGCCAGGGAGCGAGTTCAATCCTGGGCCCTCCAGGGAGCAACCCATATGGCGCATCAGACCTCTCCTGTCTCCCCTGCTGCTCCCCTCAGCAGTGTGTTTCAGTCTGCCTGCCTGTTCTGTTCCCCACTCTGTCTCTTGTGAATCCTCTCACCCTCTGCACCACTGGCCTGTACCCCAGTTCTTGTATGCATAAATAATTAAATCTTTAAAAAAAAAAAAAAAAGGATTCAAACTCTGCTTTGTCTGACTCCACAGTCCTTGCTCTCTCCGGAGTTACCATGAAAGAAGCCCATATGCAGGGTGCACTGACTATCTCCCCCAAGCCCCTCAGAAGCCCTAACAATCACAACTCTGCCAAGGAGACGATTTAATAACTCTCTACGGATCTGAGGAAGAAAATCTGCTCTCTAGTTTCACAGAAGCCCCGTCCAGAGCTCCTGCCGCAGAAGCGACTGGGGTTAGATTTAGGGGAACATAATGAATGAGGATGAAAGTTTGAAAGGAAGAGGGAGGCTTCTGGTCTCTCACTAGGTTAGGCAGTAATCAGGGCAGAGGCCTAATTTGAAACTCACAGGTGATGCTCATTTGTACAGAATCCTCCCTGTCCTGCGGGCTGAGCTGCTCAAGCCGCCCTTGAGGCACGGGGGATGGGGTCCAAGCTGAGCGAGAGCAGCGGGATGCGGAGGGAGAGGAGAGGTAGGAGCGCGGGAGGGAAGGAGGAGGGGAGGACGGGGGAAGGAGGGGAGAGGGCGCTGGGCGGGCGTCTCCAGGGAAATGCCGCCCCAGCCCCGCCCCACGAGGAGGCGGCTGTGATTGTGATGTCACACGTGGAACCGCCAGAATTCTCGCCCGCAGAGTGATGGAACCTGCCGCCCCAGCCCAGGCGACGGGGTGGGCCCTGCACCGTGGGCTCCGGTCAGGCCCCGCACTTCTTGGGGAGCGCCCAGCGCTCCCCCTGCCCCCTGCCCCCTCCCTCCCCCCGCCTCCCCGCGGCGGCACAACACAGCCTTCCGGCCCTAAATCCTGTCGTTTGCAGCTCTGGCACCAGCCAGACTGCCAGGCCCGGCCCGACCCGCAAACGATTCTCCAGGTCCCCGGACCCCTGTCCTCCATGCTTGCTCACGGCTCGAGGTGAGCCCGCCCCAGGCCCTGACTCCGCCCCCGCCGGCCCCGGCCCCGCCCCCGGCAGGCGCCCCTCGGGCTACACCCTCGGGCACCCCGCGGCCAGCCCGCGCCACGCCCCCAGCTCGAAGCCCACCCCTCCGCCGCCCGCCCCCTTACCAGGGTCGCTCTCATCCCAGCTGCTGGCATCATCCTCAGTCTTTTCCTTAGTCCACCTTTCGATCCGTAGAGTCGTCCTGACCCACATTGCTCAGCCCAGCTCTCGTCCCTTAGACTCTTCCTCACTCAAGCCTAGCCCTGGGCCTCCACCAGTTGTGGACTGCACAGCCTCAGCCAGTTGTGGACCCCAATCTCTGCTTGGCCCCAGTTCAGTCCTTAACTCCGCCTCATGCTTGCCCGAGCCCGCCACCCCCTCCCCCGCTCTAGGCTGCGTGGTCTTATCAGCCCAAGTCTAAGCTTCGGTCGCGCTTTTCATCCGGGCCTCCCGGCTTCCTCCAGGCCACTCTTGGTCCCACCTTTCACTCGAGCACCACCCCTTTTATCTCAGGCCTAAATCTTAGCTTGGCCGCTGAGGCCCAGCCCGCAGTCCCATCCCTAGCTCCTCTCCGGACCCCCCTCCCAGCTCAGTCCACCCCCAGGCCCTGGCCCCGCCCCCGGCCCCGTTCTTAGCCCCGCCCCAACCATTCACACTTCGGGGCGCTGTGCGCCTCGCAACCCTTCCGAACCCGGCCGCGTGGCCCTAGCCCCGCCCCCAATCTACACTCGCTCGCGGGAGAAGGGAAACCAGAAGAGGAAGTGTAAAAAAAGTCAGCCCTTCCAGGACAAAGTGACAGGATAAGATCGGATAAGCACGGAACCAGGCATGGCATGGACAGAGAGCACTTGCTCCTGGGAGCCAGGACCTGTGTTCTAATCTCGGGCCTCCATGACCTGCCAGGATGGCACCCGGCCACCTGTCCCTCTGTTCCGAGATACTTCCTATAGCACTGAGCTACAATCCATGGCTGTAGGACAGATGTCAACAGTGGCCAAGTTCTTGGTCACTCTTTTCTTTTATATAAATTAAGGTTTTGAACGCTTCCTACTTAGTGTGACTTCGTGTTTTATCTTATTTCATCCATGATATCGCATCATGTATTTTATAGATGAGGAAACTGAGGCAGAGAAGATAAATGATCTGCCTTAGTGCCCCAAGATGAACAGTAAGAATTCAAAAACATCCTCTTAATTCAGAACACATCTTTTTTTCTTTGTAGAGGGAAAATATTTTACTTTTTACTCAATTTAGTTCTTTAGTCATGTTTTAAAATGCAAAAAGATACTACTCAATTTTATGTTTACATTACTAATACGGTTTGATGTTAATAGCACAGATGGTAAGAGCTTGGTTCATGCCCACCCTGAGCCTTTCAATTAGCCCAAAAAGCATCCAAAACTCAGTCATTTCTCAATATATTCCCCTCACAGAAGCATATTTTAAGGGAAGGCAGAGAAAAGGTAAAAAAAGAAAGAAATACCCAATTTTTTGATGACGGGACAAAAGGACTTTCAAAGTCAATGTTCAGTTGTCACCGAGTGTCCAGTGCAGCCCCCCGCCCAAAAAAAAAAAAGCTGGTCCCAAGCTGCCCTACCCAGGGACCAAGGATGGTCAGAATTCCAGCTGGAGACTCCAATTCCAAGACAATCAGGTAGCACTACCCATTCTATATCCCACATCGCCAACAAAGGACTCTAGCCTCCAAACTGCTAATAACAGATTTTAATGCATAAGGCACAGTGTGAGGCTGGAATCATTAAGTATCCTCATACCCAAAGAGCCTCCTCAATGAAGGGCACCTTGGAGGAGGGGGGCATCCAGTCTCTAGCAGGGTACCTGGGAACAAGAAATGACTAGCATGGTCCTGTGACCCCTCTGGGGTACTGCCACAAGGGGCAGCTCTTTGGTCTGAAAAAAGACTCAGTGCAAATGTCCAAGGGTTGAGCTCTAGGGGAGTCAAGGCAGCTCAGTAGCCTAGGGCTGGGGAATCTCTGGACAGTCCTCTCAGGTCTCACGGGCAACACGTGGGTTTCTTCTTGTTGGCAGTTAGATAGAGGTTGCTGTCATCACTGTTGATGCCTGAAGAAGGGTGGGAAACATGTGAAGAGGGACTGGAGGTTCCCTGTGCTCTCTGCCACCCTCATCCAGGTGGGCACTCACGGACAACATCTCCAATGCGCCGAGCCCCCGATTTCTCCAGCTCAGCCAGCACATTAGCCTCAAAGGTCAGTGCTGCCACACGGAAGAAGAATTCCCGGACATTTTCACCTGGCACAGAGAGCAGATGGGTGCTAGGGCAGTGTCAGGCCTGGGGTCACTGTGCACAGCTGGAGGTACAGCAGCGGGAGGCAAGGTAGGCCGGAATGCCACAGCAGAAGGCCTGACTCACCAGTGAGAGATGAGACTGCCCAGTACTCAGCCTTCATCTCTTGGGCCACTTTGAGCGCATCTTTCTCCATTAGTACATACTGAGCGGGAGTCTGAGGGAAAGTCAGTCAGGTTGGAAGGGGGAGGGGTTCCCCTCACCCAGTTGGAAGTCTCCCTACTGACACACTCACACTCAGGTCCTTCTTGGCACCCACAAGGAAGAGAAGCACACTGGAAGGGTCGTTCTCCTTGAGCGCATCAGCTAGCCACTGCCTGTCATAGACGGTGGACAGCGAGCGATCAGCAAGCTGGACAGGCTGCTCCTAGTGATACTCATTTGCCCGAATATCCTGTCTCTGTTCCTAGGTGTAGTCTTCTCCTCTCCTCCCGTGCCCCTGACTACCCCTTTTTTCTGAGCCCTTGTTCTCAGAGTGCCCATTACATTTCAGCATCCCCACATACTTGGTATGTTCCAGGGAGGCCACATCATTCAGGTTGAAGACAATAATGATGGCTGGCGGAAGGCAGAAAAAAAACCCAGGTTGACTCTACTATCTCATTTCAGATACACCCACCTACCCATTCACCTGGCCTCTTACCTTGAGCTCCTCGGTAGTAGGTGGATGCAATGCATTTGAACCTCTCCTGTCCAGCAGTATCCCAGCTGGAAGTAGTGAAACATAGGTGTGGGGGTGGGGAGAGAGCAAGGTGTGGTATAGGTGCTGGGAGAAGGAAAGGCGGGAGGGATGGCGGAAGCACTCACAGTTGCAGACTGAAGGGGACACCCAGCACCTCAAATCGTTCCATCTCAAAGTCCACGCCAATGGTGGCCTTATAATTCTTATCAAAGGTATCTTTGCAGAACCTGAGGGTGTCATCAGATGCTCTCACCTTGAGCCCATCCAGCTGGCTAGGTGTGTCCCACCCTGCCCAGCTCAACAACCAGCTCGGCTCCAGCACCCTCTTACCTATTAATGAGACAAGTCTTCCCCACCGACAGGTCCCCAACCACAATGACCTTGGAGATCTTAAATCTGCTAGATACAAAAGTAGACAAGAGGAGTGGGCACTTTCACCCTACAGAGTTCCAGTGTGTGTGTGTGTGTGTGTGTGTGTGTGTGTGTGTGTATGTTTAGGCTCAGAAAAGGTAGCTGCACCTAGGCTGAGGTTACCATAGACACCAGGCTTCCCAGGCAGCTTGGGAAGGAATGTATTGTCCTTCAGTGTCAGGAAGACATGAATTTGAATTCCAGTACTCATACTTACTAGCTGTGTGACTCTGGAGAAGTTACTCAGCCTCTCAGTACCTCAGTTTGAAGAGCTTCTAAGTGTAGGCTTAGTACATATTTTACTGGGTAGTTAGGAAAGTTTTATGAGAGAAATGTCCTCTATTCTGAGGCCTATCCCCCCTCCCCACATCTATTTTAACATCTCTGAAATGAGAATACATCTCAAAGAGATGGTGTTTTCCATTTAATTAAGGACTCTTGAGTGTAATCAACACACAGTATCTGCTCAGTTAGTAATGGCAATGGTTATCAATATTACCCTTTTTTTATCCACAAAGGGACCTATCCCTGTAGGCACGGTCTAGGGTTCACATAGCTGGTCCGTGGGAAGCAGAGCTAGTGGCCACCTCTTCATGTTAGACAACTTCTCTGTGTCAAGAATTCAACTGCCACCTTTCTAACCCACCCCGTCTCACAGTGCTCGCCACAACATTGCAGTTAAGAAAGGGGGAAACACAGGCGCATACAAAGCCACAGCTGGCAGAGGCTGAAAAGGAGCTCCAAGGAGGGTGCTTGTGCACCCTTGTTTTGATTAGAGGGGTTTCCTGGGATTCCCTTTCTTTGTTATTGCCTCTAACTCACCCCACGGTGCCTGTCTGGTGCTCCAGGCAAGCGCAGGTGACCCGGGGGTGGAAGTCTTTGTGCACGTGCAAAGCGGCCTCCTTCCTCAGGCACTAAGAGGGAGGCAAGAGACTGGGACTCACCCATTCCCGGACCTACTCGCGGACCTAGTCGCGCAGCCAAGCAGCCTGGGGCTGGGGTGCGCCGGGGAAGGGGACCACCCAAAGCGGCAGGCCTAGCTGGGAGGCAGGGCTGGGCCCTGCCGGGGATTAAAGCCACCTTCTTCCCGCCCACAGCCCACCGCTGCCAGAAACCCGACGTGGCCTTGGCGCCTACCTGGGGCAGCTCCGCCAGGACGCGGTCCCTCCGCACCGGCGCCAGAATGTTCATCTTGCCTGCGGCCTTGCGGAGCGCCCTGAGAAGGCGCGGAGGCCTGATCCGTCCCAACGACCGGAGCCCGTGGAGACCCAACAATCACCCGCGACCGAGATGTTCCGACTATAACTCGGGGCCACGGGGAACCTGAGGGAGCCCGCGGCCTCGAAGACCCTACGACCACCGCGGGCCACGGGGATGAGACTATCACCCGGGGCCGGGGCGAACCCACAATCACCCGGGCCCGGGGCGCCCCGAAGACTACTCGAGGTCGAGGAGATCCCTCCCGCGCCAGATGGGGGCGAGGGATCCCGTCCCGGGGGGCTCGGGTCCGCGCAGACCCTACAATAACGCGCGGCCGGATAGTTCCTACAATAACTCGGGGCCGCGGAGACCCGACGACAGCTCGAGGTTGAGGCGGCCCGACCATAACAGAGCGGCCCAGGGGCGCGGAGCGGCCCGGCCACACGGGGTCAGTGTGGGCAGCGACGGCGCCGCAAGGCCAGCGGACTGCTGGAGAGGGCGAGGGGCCCAGTCAGCTGCAGGGCCTCTCGTCCCTCTGGGCTCTACTTCGGCAAGCACTGTAACTTGATCCCCGGAAATTCCTGAAGAAGGGCCGCCCCCCGCCCCTCTCCAGGCAGCTCCGGCCTCACTGCTCGCCCCGGCCTCCCCTCCTCTCCTCCCCTCTGTGCGGCTCCTGCTGGGGCTCCCCAGACGCCTCACTCGGCTTCTGCGCCGGCGGCATCTGCGCCGCCCCCACCCAGGCTGGAATCTTCCCAGACCCGCATTCCCCAGGTCGCTCTCCTCCACACCTCTGTCGGGGCTGCACCGCCGCAGAGACCCTTACCACGCCGAATTGGTGATGGGGAATCGGTGATTGCTGCGCAGCATCTGGCTGCGCCAGGAACCGGTCGGGAGGGGAAAGGGGGAGAGAAGGGGCCCAAGAAGAGGCGGCGCTATCCTCCTCAACTCCAGGCCCAGATCGTGACTCATAGATTCTGCCCCCGCTCGCCCTCTGGCCTGGGAGGTGGGGGGGATGAGGAGGGTGGTGGTGGGAGAAATGTAGAGGGGATGCCAGGCTCGGGACGGTGCCCACCGAAGGGAGAGACGCCGGACGTCTGTTCTTTTCTTCCAAGACTGCAGTATAGACGAGGGGAGGGGGGGCGAGGGTTAGGGCCTGAAAATCAAGATGCCTCCTTCAAAGGAGCATAAAGGAGGGGGTAATGGATCGGGAACTCCACCCTTTGGGGAGGATACTGTCGCGAGATGGGGGGACTCCCCTCGGGTAGGGACGCGCTCCTCTCTTTTTCTCCCAAGGACTTTTCCTTTTTGCAGTTCTCTGAGAAATAGATGAGGGGGTCGTGTTACAGGGCAACCCCGATATTGCGTCCCCCCTAACAGTAGCATGTAACAAATCCCACCGTCAAAGGGGAAATCGGGTTTCAAGAGGAGAGGGATGACAGGGCGAGGTGGAGGGCGAGTAGAGAGACCCTCAGAGAACAAACCTGAGATATTTAATAAACTTTGCGTGTCAGGAACTGAGTTTGAGAATGCAAAGGTGACTGGGGCAAAGATGACTTAAAGAGAGGAGGCCGTAAGTATTCACAACCAGTGAATCCTGGAGAAACCTGCGTGCTGCGTGTTTGGAATACTGGGAGATTCCGCAAGCGCATTACCGGGAACACGCATGAAACCTGCCACAGGTAAAGGGCAGATGTGGCCATCCCCTACCTCTCCTGACACTATGCCCCGCCCCTCTACACGACTTTTTCTGCCACCAAATCACTCTGTTATGGATAAGCCACGTCTCCTCTCTGGACCTCAATTATCACTTCTGTGGTCTGAGGAGGTGAGCCCGGACATCACTCTCCCTCCGTCGGTCTGGTTGATTAATTCCAATACGTAGCGTTACTGTTTCCCTGAACTGCGATCCTGTTGCCTGAGACTGGAAGTCGCTCAGACAGAGAGCGCTTGGGACCAGCCCAGAGCTGCAGGCAGCCGCACCACCCGCCCGCTACCGCGAATAAACACGTGTCGCCACGAAAACTACAAGCCCCGACATCCGTGCGCGTCCTAGGAGGAGGGGTGGCGCATGCGCGCGAGGTGAGCGCGTCTAACTACTATTCCCGGCGGCCGCCACGTTACAGATGGTCCAATCAACTTTCAGCAGAAAACATCGCGAGACTTAGGTGGGCCTTGACGCTATAAGCCCGTGAGACCGGGCTTCGGAAACCCTTTTCACGAAGATGGCGCCGAAAGCTAAGAAGGAAGGTGTGTGCCGAGCCAGGGGAGCACGGCTGACTGGCCTGAGGTCCCCGCCGCGTTAACGAGCTGGGGGGACGGTTGCTGGCCTAAGCCCTGGGGTGTTTGCTCCGCGGAGCTGCTTTTCGCGCCTCGGTCACGCTGCGGCGCGCGTGGGCCTAACCGCATGGGCTGGGTTGCAGGGAAGGGGGTTGGGGAGCCCGGACCGGCAGGCGCGGGCATAGTCAGGTAATTGGCACTGGGAATTTAACATTTAAGCACAGAGCGAAAGGTTACAGACATGTCTTCAGACCTCTAAAGGCTCTGTGCCTAGAACTTTATCTTCTTTAACTTTAAAATGTAAGGCAGCAGTGTCTATATCTCTACCTTAGCGTGCATATGATGGAAAAATTTTAATAGCCTGAGACTTGTGATGTCTCCAAAGGAACCGCTGATGCACGTGTGGCACAGTGCGCCCACTGCTGGTCTTCAGGCAGGAAATGATACATTTCTGTATTCTGTACTCTAAATTTCTTTATTTCTCTAAGCCCCTGCCCCTCCCAAAGCCGAGGCCAAGGCAAAAGCTTTGAAGGCCAAGAAAGCAGTGCTGAAAGGCGTCCACAGCCATAAGAAAAAGAAGATCCGCACTTCACCCACTTTTCGGAGGCCCAAGACATTGCGACTCCGAAGGCAACCCAAATATCCGCGGAAGAGCGCTCCCAGGAGAAACAAGTTAGTACTGCCCCATACCCTTGAAAAGGTTCGCTAATTGTAGTGTGAGGTTAATTTTCTGTTAAGAGTATTGGCAGGAATTATTTAGGCCATACCAGTCACTGTCAAGGTTAATGGGTTAATTTTTGCTTTATGTGTGGTCAGTTTTGTAGTTAACTTTCTTTGGGGGTATAACATGGGCTTAGATATTCTTTGTCTTGCATTGTCAAACTTAGTTGATTCCTCATTGCACCGTTGCTATAGGGAAGTTGAAGATAAGGCATGAATCTAGATTGATCAGGAGATTTGTTGCACCAGTGTGTGGAAATTTCATTCTCAAATTTTTATACTCAAGGAATAATTAGAGGGAAATTGATAAAATGTTGGATTCTTGAGTATTTAGGTATCACACTACTGGTAATACTGACTTTAGGGACCACTGATTAAAGCTGGTGTAAGTCAGCAATGGGTTTCTGCTAATCCTACCGCTAACCAAGAAAAAGGCCAGGATTGTGTTTTGTCTATGAAGGAAAGCACTTGACAGACTTTGTGCCCCCATTTGCTCCAAGAATATAGTGTGATTGAGAACTGGCCTCTAGCTTCAAAATCAGAAAAATTTTGAACAGAACCATGCTTTGAATATTAGGAAGAAAGCTATATTGTAGGTATGTTAAAGCCATTGGTAAGTTAGCCTGAGCTGTAGATAACATGAGTTAAACAGGGCATCAAGCCAGTTTGAGCAACCCAAGGGGACAGAAATAGTTCACCCAACCCCATAGTAAAATGACAATCTTTGTAACCTTAGCCTAGGTTTCAGGTTTTCATTGTCTAGCTTTGTGCTCTTGGGGTGAAGTCAAGCTTCTTCCAGAAATAGGCTCTTCCAAAAGGTTGAGGTAAAATAAAAATAGAGGGGGCTGGAACTCAAGGATGATTGAATCATTTAAAGGATAAATGCTGTTTGTGTGAATGTGCCCAAGTGTAAGGGTTCAGCCCCCAGACTGAGAGACTCCAGGTCCTTAGTTTCAGGGTGCAGATGATGACACTGTTAAGCGACCAAAGTCTGACACTAAAATGATTTGCTACCTAATTGTCTGATGCACCTGGACCTTAAGCTCCAAAAGAGGGCCTGTCCTTTGTTCTGCTGGGTCAAGACCAGGAGACCCCAATTTGCCTCTCCCTAGGCTTGACCACTATGCCATCATCAAGTTCCCTCTTACCACTGAGTCAGCCATGAAGAAAATAGAAGACAACAACACACTTGTGTTCATTGTGGATGTCAAGGCCAACAAGCACCAGATCAAACAGGCTGTGAAGAAGCTCTATGACATTGATGTGGCAAAGGTCAATACCCTGATCAGGTGAGTGGGGCCTTGGGAGGTAGGAAACCTGACTGGCGTAAAATTCCTTAGTGCCACTTTTGGTAACAGAAGTGGGTGTTGCAGTGTACAAGGCTTGAGAGATGAGCAGCCCCTGCTGGAACTACAGTTTTTTGTATTAAGTATGGAATTTTGAGGGAACATGGGTTGTCCTGCCTATGGGACTTGATTTACATGGGGTGGTGCTTATGCTCTTGATTGCTGCCTTTAGATTGAGGCAGGCCCTGAAATAAAATAAAAATTATCTCAGACTATCCGGATTTACGTCTCTGTGGTATTTCCTATAAGAGAATTGACTTTGTGGGTAAATGGCTTCCATACTCCCTTCTGTGCACAAATGATCGAAAAATCACTATTTGGAAAAGAATGACATGAACAAAGGAACCACTGATGTGCAGTAAGATGGGAGAAAGGACATGGGGGCAATGAGGACAGCAGTGACTAAGGCTTCCTTCTTCTCCCTAGACCTGATGGAGAAAAGAAGGCCTATGTTCGACTGGCTCCTGACTATGATGCTTTGGATGTTGCCAACAAAGTAAGCTTCCTCTGCTAGGAATTTCTTAACCCTTAGCCCCTGGGTGTAAATGATGTGCGTGTTAGTGACCAAAGCCTGACTTGCTGATTAGTCTTAACTCACTGATTGCACCCTAGTCATTAGGCTCAACCTACCATGTACCTAGTTTTTGCTTTTTAACCATTATTTCAGCTTAATAGTCCCATTTCAGCTCCCAGTAACCAAGCCCCCTTTTGTTTTTCAGATTGGGATCATCTAAACGGACTCCAGCTGGCTAATTCTAAATACAATTTTTCACCATATATATGCTTCTTGTCTTTATGTCAATTTCTGCTTGGGCTGGTGGGAGTTGATACTGTGAGGCTTTACACACTTAAATAACAGGGCTTGGGCAGAACTTTTGGTCTACTTACCCGGTTGGAATACACATCCCTATCACCTCACCATACTTGTTATAATCCTCAGGGGTGGAGCTTGGGTAGTAGAGATAATTGTGGCCCAGGCTAGAGTTTTAGTTGTCCTATGAGAAGCAGAACATGCCTTCAACATACCAATACCAGTTTTCATTAGCATCCATTACAGGGCAGTGTGGGTAGGCTGGCTTTCCAGAAGCACCTCTTCTCCCCACACCCATCTACCATGTCCAACCGGTCCGTCTGCTTCCCGTACCTCTTGCCCAAGAAAGGACAAGGACTTCAGAGGAATGCTTTCATTAGTGTTTTCAATTGTGGGTGCAGACTTAAAGATGGAGAGGATGCCCCAGGCTTGGGCCAAGTCTCCTTCCATTGTTTGCTGTCCTTGCCGAGTCCTATTCCAGGCTCTGTGCCTCTCACTCCGTTAAGAATTTGTCTTTGTGTTGCCGGCGGCCAGAGCGCCCGGGGCAGAAGTCCGAGCGGAGGAGACGGGAAAAGTAGATGAGGATCATGACATCCAGCATTAACAGAACACTCAGCAGGAAGGTGCCCAGGGTCCTCTGGCCAGCATAACGCAGGAAGAAATGGGTGAGGTAGGCCTGAGGGGCCAGGCGGAAAAGAAAGTACATGACCAAGTTGACATACTTGTTGATGTGGTAGAGGAGGAGATCCTGGGCATTGTTGATCTTCATCATCATGCGAATGGTGAGGAAGATGTTGCTCACCTCCACCAGTAATGTGAGGACTCCCCCACCAACAAAGCGGCTATAAAATATGCCTGAAAAGAATGCACCCATGGCCTTGAAAGCAAGGGAGAGAAAAAAGGTTAGGGAAACCAAGGCTTTTCTAAAAGTTAGTGGGAGTGTCAAGGCTACCAGATAGAGGGCCAGAAAATCCTCCCTTGTTTGCTTCCTAATAGAGTATGTGTATTTCAACACCTTTAAATTTTAATCCCTGACCACTCTATTTGAAGCATACTGAGTGAGGCCATGGATTAGTGTGGCCTCAGTCAACTAAGGGCACAGAGGGTGCCAGCTCCCAGCACCCTAGCATGTATGAGAGGTAGGACTGGACGTGACCAGGGTTAAGAAAAGAGTCCTCCCCCCATAAGTTTGAGGGAGACAGTCAGGGTTGCTGGCCCCAAGCCTACATCACATCCCAGCCCCACACCACATCCCCTGCCGCTCACCATGACGTGATGGACCAGGTACTCCCAAGAAGCACGAGCCTGATGGCTAACCACGATGTCTACCGTGTCGTGGATGAAATACCCTAGTGGAGGAGGGAGAAGGGGGAGAAGTCACGAGGTGGGCTATACAGTAAGAACCAACAATGTTTTTCTGGGCAAGACCTACCAGCGGAAAAGCAAACGAGCAAGTAGCCAGAAAGCGACCACGCCGTCTCAATCTCCACCAGCATCTCGGGGGTCTGCCACAGGCTGGAAGGGAGGGATGAAGTCGCGATCTCGCGTCAGCTTCCGCGAGGACCCTCAACTCCCTCACCACCCTGGTCAGCCCCAGAGGAGTCTGGGCTCGCGCTATTGGCTCGCTGGGGACTGAGGAGGGGCTTGGCGGAAACCCAGGTGTCTCCCGTTTCCCCAATGAGCTCCCCCTCTCCAGGGGCCGCTGCCGCTCCGGGCTGAACAGCGTTCCAAACAGGGAATCAGGTGAGACAGCTTGGCCTCAGTCGGCCCGCGAGTGATGGGCAAAGCAAGTAATGAGGGATCCCCTGGCCATCTTCGCTCCCCCAGTCCTTCACTCACCACAGCAGCGCCCAGATCCCTGACACAATGGAATGGGCGAAGGAGACGAGCAAGTTGTGCCAGCGCCAGGTGCGCAGGGGGTCGGCGCGCACGTGCGCGGGCAGGGGCAGGCGACTGAGCGCGCGCCGGAGCGCCCGGAAGGTCAGCGTGGCGCCCAGGAGCAGCGGCAGGGCGGGGTGCAACAGTGGGGGCATGCTGGCCCTCCCGGCCGTCTGTTTGTCCGCCCTCTAGGCGGCCTCTTCGGGCTGTTCAGGGAACGGGGCTCCCTCTCGGACCACTCCGCCCCGGACGCCTCTCCCGCCGACGCCAGCCTCACACAGTTTTCGCGGAGCCCTCTAGGCCCCTTCGCTCCTCCCGTCCCCTCCCCGCCGGCCTCTGCCCCCGCCCCTAGCCGCCCGCGCCCCGGCCCCGCCCCGGCCGCCAGCCCCCGCCTCTCCGGCGCCTCTGCCGCTCCGAGGGCGCGGGCTCCGTGTCCCGCGGGCCTCCCCGCCCCGCCTGGTTCCCGCGGACTTCGGGAGAAAAGGCCATCCTGGGGGCGCCGCCGCCGAGACCCCCTCGCTGGCGCCTCCCGACTGCCGACGGAGTGCCGCCTCGCGCGCTTGGTCTCTTTACCCCGCGTCCCCACACTCTCCGCGGCCCACGGCTCCCCCGCCTGGGCGGGTACTCCGAGATCGCACTCTCCGCCCTCAACTCCTTTCTGGTCAGAGCTGGGCGGGACCAGTCACACACCCACGTCCTTTCAGCCAGGCCGGCTGGGGGTGTCGGCGCCCGCCGCGGACCCTGCTCTCCGCCTGGGCGCTGTCCACCGAGCGCCGGCGTCGGGCCAGGCGAGGACACCAGGACCTGTTTACCTGCCCGTGCCGTGCCCCGCGCGGGGTCCGCGCCCAGAAACTGCTGACTAACCTCTCCCCACCCCGCCTCCCTGCCCGCTCCAGGGTTCCTGGGGCCAAGCGGTTGTCACAGTCCTCCCTCAGACAGTCCCCGCTCTCTTCTCCCGGCTCCCTGGAGACTGGGGCGGGGAGACGGCCCATTTGCCCGAGCGGCTGGGGTGACCCTCGCGCCTCAGGCGGCAGCCCGGAGCAGTTCAAGCTCGCGGCCACTAGGTGTCAGCCTGTCCTCACCGTGGCGCGGCATCCCCTCCCGCCCCCGGAGCAGAGGGTTACTTTTCGCCGAGTTAGTTAGCCCGACGCCTGGACGAGGAGAGGCGATGGGAGCGGGAGAGGAGCTTGCGAGGACTGGGGAAGGGTGGGGAGTGAGCGGGTGTGCGAGAGGCGAGGAGCGGTGGCGTGCCTAGGCAAATGGTCCAGCGAGTGGGAGAAAAGGCCAGAAGCCTGAGGCGCCAGCGACCCAGGGACCAACCAAGTCGTGTGGATGTTTGCTCTGCCTCCTCTGATGGCACCAAGGTTACATATTAACCCCTGTGGGGCTCCCGGGTCAACGAAGGCCCGGTTGGTTTCTAGGCGAGAGCACGAATGTCCCGGGTGAGCGGCTCTCCACACCCACCCTCCCGCCCCTGCTCCCCTTAGCTCACAGGGCAGCTCTGAACGCCAGCCAACTCCGGCCTGAGCCAGAGACCAGGCTGAGCCCGGGCCCTCGAGGGTCCGTCCAGGGGTCATTCCAAGAGGGCAGGTTCGGGTACTTTTCCAAGGATCGGGCTGGGAGTAGAAGATTAACACCCTTTCCTTACCTTCTCACCCGCTCAGAAATAGGGACACGAACCGAACCCTGTTAATCACCACCCTTCCCCCCACTTTTTTTTCTCCCCCCCCCCCCGCCCCTTTTATGGAATTCCATAGAGCAGGAGGCTCTAGGGACACAACTGGAATTCAAACTCCCTCTGGGGGCCTCCCCAATGGCGCAAGGGGTTAAGACGCAGCACTATGAAGCTATCTGCAGCCACTCCAGGACAAGTTCAAGCCCCAGCCGGGAGCTACCCACATGGCACAGCAGATCTCTCCTGACGCCCGCTGCTCCCCTCAGCAGTGTATTTCAGTCAGTCTGCCTGTTCTGTTCCCCACTCTGTCTCTGGTGAATCCTCTCACCCGCCACCCCCTCTCTGGCCTGCACCCCAGCTCTTAAATGCATAAATAAATAAATCTTTAAAGAAAAAAACCTCGCTTCTGGTCGAGACACAGACGATCCTACAAACCAGCTCGCTACCTCTGGGCAGAAGCCTTGAATTCATATCTGACAAACGGCTGTCTGTCCTCCTAGCCCTGGCACTTTCAGATAATGGCCTACTTCCCGCTCATCTTCCCCCAAGGAGATTCTCCATAGTTGAACATTGGAGGCAGATTAGCCTGCGGTAGTGTCGTGTGTGCAAGACACACGTGGGGAGTTGAGTGTTGACGAACGCAGTGCTCACTGTCTGACAGTCTGGAGATCGGGTCACGTCCTCCTCAGGTGAATCAACGTGCGCAGATAGGGGTTTCCCCGGCCGCTCCCTAGGCAAACACGAAACTAACCTTGCTCCTGCCCCACAGATAAAGTGCTCAGACCCTGAGTTCAGTTTTGGTAGTGCTGATCACTGCTCTCTCCTTCCTAAATCGCGTCACCAGTATGCCAAAGGGCGGGGGCAGAGAGAAATGGGTTTCCCTTCCCACCCTCGCTGGGCTTGCGCGGGGCACCCCACACCCCCAGCCTAAGGGAGCTTTTCTAAGGACCAGATGCGGCCACATGTGTGGGAAGAACTGGTATAGTGCTGGCCACTGCGGAGCCCGCCAAGAAATGGCATAACGCCCTATTCCTTGGGCGCCTGAAGACGCCACTGCAGGTCCGGGCTGCAGGGGCGGTGGAAACCCGCCGACAGGCGCGAGCTGCACCCACACTCAGCGCCCCGGGCCCCGCCCCGCGGGCCCTGCGGGGGGCGTGGCTCCGGGGGCGGGTCCGCGCAAGCGCCGCTTCTGCCTACACGGGGTTCCGGACGCGTGACTGAGAAACGGGATGGAGAAGTACGAGCGGATTCGAGTGGTGGGCAGAGGTGCCTTCGGGTGAGCCAGGGCTCTGGGGGGGAAACCACCCGGGGAAAGGGAAAATCAGCCTCAACTCCGATCGTGAAACCCCGCCCGGCTCGCCACTCCCCGAAGCGCGAGCGCCCGCTCTGGGCAGCCCCGCCCCGTTTCCGGTCCCAGCCCCGGTCCCGGCGGCAGGCCCCGCCCCCAGGGAGGCCCCGCCCCGGCCCGCTCTGCGCTTTCGTCTGACTCGTTCATTGAGCAAACACTGCGCGCCCGCTGTGGTGTGCAGTCGGGCTCCGCGCGCTGGGTGTGCAGCTCAGAGCGCAGACAGGCGCGACCCTGTCCCTCTCCGGCTGCACAGGCCATTGGAAAATTATACAATAAATAAGACACTGTTAAAACAGTTTTTAACAACCTGCAAAAATAGAATACAGCACCAGGGAGCACTTATTTGAGGTGGTCAAGGAAAGTTTCTCTGAGAGGTGAAATTTAAAGCCGAAGCTTGAGGAATGAGGACCTACAGTAGTTTGAAGGTGAAGGCAGAGGAAACAAGATATGCAGAGGGAAAGAGTTCAGAGTATTCAGGGGAAATGAGAAAAAGACTAGTGGAGTTGGAAGGTAGTGGGCAAGAATGGCATAAAATATGATCGTTAGGGAGGGCGGGACCAGATTATGGCTTTATAGGCTGAAGTAAAGGAGCTGAATTACTTGTAGTGTAAGGGAAAGAGGAATCGTCTTGATATGCATTTTTAAAATGCCAGAGTGCTGGCTGCTGTGTGGAATTTAGATTTGGGGGTGACCAGAGTGAAAGGGACTGTTTGAGATACTTGGGCAGCAAAGAAAGGAACAGGAAATATTCTGTCATGATTTTCAGATCTCTGACTAATAACTGAGGTGTCATTTACCCAAGTGGAAGAGACTAAGGAAGGAAAGATTTCCGGCACAAGCATCAAATTTTATTTCCAACTTGCTGAAATTTCAGATGCTTGCACACCAGTCGGGTAGCGATGCAAAGATGGTAGATGGATTTGTAAGTCTGGGGCTCAGAGAGATCTGAGCTGGAGATACACACTTGAGACTTAGATGATCATTTCAGAGTCCATTCATCAGCAGATATGTGTTGAGGGGCTAAATACTGAACTCGGAACTGGGGATAGAGTGGTGAGCAAGAAAGAACAAGACATTGACCTGAAATACAACAATAATGTGAATAGCTTCCACTCGCTGTTTGCAGTGCGCCAGTTTCTGTACTAAGTATGTTACATGCATTTTTCTCATTTGATCTTTTCAACAACTGTGTGAAATCAATTTCATTTCCATATAATGAAGCCACATAATCCCACACTAGATAACTATTAAGAGAAGGACCCAAGATTTGAACCCAGTTAACTCCAGAGTCTGGAAACTTAGAGACATGAAGATTGACTATCTCATTGTGTTTTGGTGAAACTGAGTCTCATGATAGATTAAATGCCTTGCCCAAAGTCTGGCAGAGTTGTAATCAGTTCTCCTCATTCCTAAACTCAGTCTTCTGTGGACTAGTTAGATGATCTCTTGCTCTGAGTGCTCATTTCCCTCTTCTAAGGAACATCTGGTCACCAGGTCCTGCCAGCCTGAGATGTGGCTGGGGCCTCAGTTGGTGCCCACCTTTGTACTGTCCAGGATTGTGCACCTGTGCCTGCGCAAGGCTGACCAGAAACTGGTGATCATCAAACAGATCCCAGTGGAGCAGATGACCAAGGAAGAGCGGCAGGCAGCCCAAAATGAGTGCCAGGTACTCAAGCTGCTTAACCATCCCAATGTCATTGAGTACTATGAGAACTTCCTAGAAGACAAGGCCCTCATGATTGCCATGGAATATGCACCAGGTGGGCCAGCCTCTTTGCATTGCCTGGTTCTTTTGTTTGTTTGTTTGTTTGTTTTTTTGTTTATAGAGATTTATGTATGCATACAAGAGCTATGGTGCAGGCCATAGGTGCTGGGGTGAAAGGATTTACCAGAGACAGAGTGGGGAACAGAACAGTCAGATCCCCTGAACACACTACTGAGGGAGCAGTGGGTGAGACAGGAGAGGTCTTCTGTGCCATGTAGGTATCTCCTTGGCCGGTTGGGGATCGAACTCATGCCACAGTGGCTGTGGATAGCTTTAAGTTGATGTGCTTAACTCCTTGCACCACCAGGAAGACCCAGATTCTTTTTTTTTTTTAAGATTTTATTTACTGTATAAAGAACTGGGGTGTAAGACAGAGGTGCCGGGTGGGTGAGAGGATTCACCAAAGATAGAGTGGGGAGCAGAACAGGCAGATTTACTGGACTACACTGACTGCTAAGGAGAACAGTGAGCGAGACAGGAGAGGTCTGCTATGCCATATGTGG